TCAGCAGAGCTTTTAGCCTGCGGTTGGCGGCCGGCGACGGCATCAGCTCGACAAGCTCTTCATCATTCACGTTAATAAACTCGCGCAGCTCAAAGTAGCGCGCTAGCATCGCATAGGTCGACCCCCAGCGCGTTTGCTGACGTAGTTTAGGGCGGAGAGGCGTCTTCAGTCTTGATAAAAATATTAAATTTGAAATTAATAATTCCATAATTAAAAAAAAAACATTGATGGATAACTTACCTCATCTTGGCCGCTTGGGTCAGTGTCCTCAGGCGCTTCATCAGCGACTGGACTTGCTCGAGATCCTATTCGTGTGGGTCCAGTAGTGTCCGGACTGCGAGGTTCAACGATGGCTAGCGCAGCCAACAAGCGGCACGCCCATGAGGCGAGCAAGCCGCATGTTGACAGCGCAGTTGTCGCCAACCAAAAATATGCAGTTAGACAGTTCTTTACCAAAAAATGGCAGGAATGCCGATAATGCTGCCATATGGGACTCAGCATCAAACCGCCCGGTTGCGTCAATGACAATCGGTGCCAAAGACAGCAGGGGGTACCTGGGGCCGGCGCGCGTCTCGTAGCAGCCGAAGACGGCAAGGTAGTGCTCGGACCCGTGTGTCCACCCGTCCAGCATCAGCCCGAACTTGTCGGGCATCTCGTTGCCCACGTGCACCTCGACCGCCTTCGTGAGGCTCTCCATGTTCTCTCGCAGAGTCTTGGTCGAAACTGGGGGCAGTTTAGTGTACCTAACACAAATTTTGAAACAAGTTAAAATTTATAATAGGAAGTTGGGTCAAATAATAGCCAATAAAAACCTGCGAGTAGACTCCATTTCAACGAATGAGAGTGGGAGGTTACCGTTCACGACCCACTCCAGCCAGGTGTACCTCGTCGACGCCTTCTGGCGGACCCACGGGAGTAGGGTGCCCGTTGCGGCGGAGCTGGCATCCTCCATCTCCTGTTCGTAGCGAGGGTGGTCGGTGCGCACGTGGGACACCAAGTTGGTGTACCCCGTTTTGGGGGCGTGCTTGCGCGTCTTGCCGCAGGCCTTGCAGACCTGGAGACCAGTAGGATCCCCGTCCTCCGTTAGGTAGGGCTTAAAGAAAAATGAAGCGATTTGCTTCGGAGAGAACTTGCTCTGAGAGCGCTGGGATGGCATTAGGGAGACGTCGGACATGGCTAGGTAGTGAGAGATGGATTGTTTGAGGTATGCGAAATTGCAAAGTGAGATCGAGTCGGCTGAAGCAATTTGCAAGGAGCTCAGAGCCAACGAAAATCTGGTGGCTGTCGGTCAAGGTCGGCAATTAATTTCGTGTAGGTTTACATAAAATCCATAAATAAATTTCAGACTGTAGCCAAGGCCGTAAATAAATTATTATCTGAGATTTTAAAAATATATTTTCAGTAAATATATTTTTGCGGATCCCTGTTGGTAACCATGGTACTTACTGAGGGGTAGCATTGTACTTATACTTTACGCGTGTTTAGCACTGTTTTTACTTGAGACAAACTGTTTACGAGGTAGTTGTCTTCCAACACTTGTTTTCGGACGAGTACTAGTGTAAGAGGCCTACAAGGTTACCGATGCGTGTTCAGCAAACAACGTGCTGCACTAATTAGGTGCTTACACATCATCCCCAGTGGCTGCAATGGGTTCAATGCTAACTTTTGTGCGATACTTATAATATATTTCTGCTGGCTTTTAATTAAAGAAGCACTTCAGAATACTCCAACAACTGTATTTAATACTAGTTCATCTTAGGCTGGGATGCTAAAGATTTCTAAGTCAGACGTATGGTTTCTTAATCCTGGTTCCACTCCGTATTTCAAAGGTGGGAAGCGTGCGTCCCAAGGATGTGTTACCATAGAACGAACTTGCTATCGAACCCTTTCCTCAAGCACATATTATGGTTCGATAGCTCGATATTATCGAGTTACTTGATACAAGTTGTAGCTACAATTTTACCTGTCAGTATTAGTGACAAGGCGTTATTCGGCAATTTGGGTCTCACCGCTCAAGTGGAGCCCACAGTTTCGTCCAACAGACTCGCCATGAATCTACACCACGTTCTCTTCCTGACGGTGACCATTCTATTTGCCAGTGCACATGCTCTCTTGGCGACTGATGAAGCTAAGAGCTTAAGTTTGGGCCATCCTATGGTTGCGAACACCAACGAGGCCAGATCGTTACGAGTCGCAAAGGAACTCGGTGAGAATAAGGAGGAAAGGGGCAATCCTACTTCGGCACTAACGTCCAAGATCTCATCGATGATCCCCATCGACCTGAAACTAGCCGCGTGGCAGGCGCTGGGCAAGCCAAAGGCGTATGTCAAAACAAAATTAGGTTTGGACGGGCTCGAGGAAGCTCAACTAAAAGCCCACAAAAACTACGGACGTTTCGTGAAATATGTGGAGAAAGCTTTAGAGAATGATATTTGGAACAAGGCCATAGGAGGGTATTCTACGTACAAGTTTTGGAAAGACATGGGGTTTGATACAATCACTACTCTGAAACAGCTCAAAGCGATCCAACAAACCGAGAAATTCAAGCTCTACAAGCGCTACGCTATTAAATTTGATGATCTCGTCGTTAACAGATTTAAATCTGGTTATACCCAGCCCGATTGGGTTTTTGACAGCAAAACTACAGCAGCGGAAAAGTACGCGAGAGCAGAGATTTGGGCGGAAATGGGGAGGAAAGACATCGATGTGAAAGAGTTCTTGGGGTTGAGGTGGGCGAATGCAGAAAAACTTCGCATGAATTCGTTTTACAAACACTATGTGCAAGCAAAAGGCAAAACGGCCTGAATGAGCTAGTAAAGCTATGAAAACCTGAAGGAATCCGCGAATATATCTTCGGAATGAAGGTGGGTTGTTATTTTGAATTTAAAAAAAAAAAAAGTTGTCTTACTCACAAAAGTGCTACCCATTGTAGTTGAATGTATTTCGTACAACATGCGTATCTGTTAGTAGTAGAACCCTCGATTCTGCAGGCACCACCACGATACTAGCGGACCAATAGACAACAAAATGTTCTGGTACCTATCGGAAACAAACTACATAACGGCTCCAATTAGCCACACACTCTTAAGATCGACAGTCCAACAGATTTTTGACATGCAGCGCAAGTCCCAAACTTCATTAGGGCGCCAACCCTGGGTTGTAGTAGAACGAATCAGGTAACAGGAAGCATTATAACTCCACTTGATCGGGAATAAAATGATAGTTCTCCAGTTTTTTTTTTCACTACACACATAAAATCTTTGCTGTACATTTTAGCAAAAATCTCGTAGATTTTTCACGGGCCGAATCAGCCGCAAATGAGGCAGAGGAGTAGATCAAATCGCGTAGTTTTAAAAGCCTGGGTTTCTAGATAAAAAATATAGTATTTGTAATTTCAACTTGCCTCTTCCAAACTATTTTGTCTTCTGGGCGAATTTATACTATTTTGATTCTGTGGGGTTGCGTTACCAATTGAATAAACGAATCTTTAGAAGCGACAGGCTGCTGCTGAATGTTCAACTGTTCAAGTCTTGACTTTATTGGCAAATCTGTAGAATGGGTGGAAATTGGATGGACAGCCCTCAACAGATTAATTCCACGGTACTGTCAACATTCAGCTGACATCAAAATGTAAGCTGAACGTTGAGCAAAAGTGGCTTGTTTAAAGCATATTTGGCGTCGGATTGTCCGTATCTGAATGCTAGTTAAGAGCTACTACGGTCTTTGATCGCGAACTCTCGCAGGATTACTAGTTACACTTCTTCTCTTCGTGGGCGTGTTAAAGTCTTCGCTGCTTGGACTCGCGAGGACGTAACATCTGTGCGGGGACATTTCGTGAGCTAAAGAAGAAGCGCCACCATCTCGAACTGATATAAGAAAATGCGATTTTCTTAGCTTCTTTTACATCGCCTTGGCAGGTAAGTACTATTATCCAGTGATACTGAACCCCACACCCTGCGTTTTGCTGTACAGACTCTCTAGACCGCCGAAGCCTCCAACCAAGCCTCAACTCGCATCCGGGAATGCTTAACCTTATCCAGCCTTCTCCTGCGCTGCTTGTGCAGCGTCAAGAACACTCGTAATGACGTTCTTGTAGCAGTGCGGATGCGTCCGTTCGTACTGCGCCTTCATCCAACTGAGCGTCTCGTCGGACTGTTGATTCAAACTCTGTCTATCAGGGTCCGAGCGACGCACAGTGTCTTTTGCCGTAGTCATGGCCTGCTTAACCAGTTCCCATTCAAGTTCATTCTCCTCCTGCTTATGTCCCAGCAGCACAAGCGCCTTGTAGAAACCCTTAATCTCTTCCTCTTTGCTACGTTCGATGTCAATCTTGATTTTCTCCTCTCCAATCTTAAATTCCAGCTCGCAGTCTCGGTCCACGACGCCCGTCGACTCGAACTTGACGTGCTCCACTCTGTTACTTTTATATTCAAATCTCTCCACTAATTTCCGCGTCGTGGTGGACGTTTCCGCGCTCACTTTGATGAGTGCGCGGTTGGTGAAGGCGAACTCCTGGCGCACACACTGCAGCGCGTACAGGACTTCCTCGCCCGGCAGCAAATAGGACACCGCCCAGGCACTCGAGACATCCGTGACCACGTCGCATATGCCCGTCGTGCCCGCGATGTCGGACGCCAGGCCCTTGATCGCCGAGTTCGTGTTGCCCATGGCGTCCCGCGTGCGGAATCCGAAATGCCACCCTGATATTTTCAATGGATACACCCTAAACTAGCAACTCCCTTACAAAAATCATATTTGCACCCTATGACAGCAACGAAAGGTTGACAAGCGATATCTTTTGACTTTAGGTCCTTGTTACGCTTACTTCTTGCCTTCTGCGACCGTCTGGGCCATAGCACTAGTGATAACTTCGCGGTAGCAACGCGGGTTGCGTTGTTGGAAGGCGTCTTCAAGCCATGCTGCAGCTCCTGACGCTTGTGACACGAGGTCGTGGCCTGCCATGATCTTCAAGCTGTCTGCTGCGTCGTCCAAACCTTTCTCGGCCTGTCCCCAGCTGCGAGCACGGGACTTTTGCTCTCGAGCGAGGAGTAATAGTGTCTTGTAGAAACCTTTAACGAATTCTTCTTCCTTACGAGCGATGTCGATGGACACGTCGTATTCGCCAATTCTGAACTTGATCTCGCAGTCGCGATCCACTCGCCCCGTGGTCTCGAACAGCACGGCTGAGATTGGACAGTCTCGATATGTGGCGCGCTGCACGAGTTTCCGCGTGGTGGTGGCGTTTTCGCCCAACGTCATTATCAACGCCTCATTGGTGAAGGCGAACTCCTCTTTTGCGGACTCGAAGGCGAACAGGATGTCTTCACCCGGCAACAGATACGAGTTGGCATGCAACTTGCTGAAGTCCTTGGCGGTGTTGCAGATATCTGCAGTGCCCGTGAGATCCTTGGTCAGACCCTTGAACATAGTGGCAAAGGCTAGTGAACGGCCACGCTAAAATGAGAATGACCTTAGAGGTGGGCAAGAGACGACGGAGGTGAAAATCCACTCGATGAGAAGAATGTACCCACTTGGACTGCAACATAGCGAACAAGCGGGGGGCGAAAGTCTGCTCTTTGTCGAGGGCACCACTACGGCGGACATGATGGCCTCGAACAGAGTACATGGATGCATCGTACTTCAATACTCGAGCTAGTATAAAATGAAGCTGGATTTCCAAAGATGGGAAGCTGCTCAACCGTTGCAGCATACTACATGTAGTACCGCCGATTAGTCGAATACTCGGCTATAACTCGGGGATTGTGGGTTCCCCACGACGTACACAGCAGTCGTGACGAGCGCCTTCCAGCTCATTTACTAATCGACCAAGCTTCAGACACCGCTCCTCCTCAAAACACCATGTTGAAAGGGCTCGCCGGTGACTTGTCAGGCGCGGGTGACGTGTGCCACGTGATGCACGAGTTCTCCAAGTGTCTGGCTAACCAATACTTACTACCCAGCGAGAGCATCATGTTCTCCATGCAGTCGACCAAGGAGGAGTTCACATTCACGAACCACGCTCTGCTCAAGATCGCCGGTAGCAACTCCACCACGACGCGTAAGCTCACGGAGCGCTTCGATTACCGCAACGAGACCATCACGTCGGTGCAATTCGAGACTGCAGGACTCGTAGATCGCGACTGTGAAATCAAATTTAAGATTGGCGGTAAATCGGTGTCTATTGACGTGGCCAAAGCGGAGCAGGCCGATGCTCAGGACTTTTACAAGGTGCTGGAGATGCTGAGTCGCCGACAGATTCAAAACAACCGCGCGTGGGAGCATGGCTGTCTGGCGCTCAAATATTCCAGCGAGGCGATGTATTTGACGGAAAACAGTGGCCAGACGCTCATCAAGCAGACCGACGAGACGTCCACATGGATCGGCGAGCTCTACAAGCGCACCCATCCACTCTGCTACCGCGAATTCATCACCGGAGCCTTCCAGGAACTCAAACTCGTCGACAAGATGGAGCGCTTCCAGATACAACAGTAGCAAGACTACTAGGATAGTTACCTACTGTAGCAAGAGAATACCTCTATGAACCAGCACTGCATTTCCAACCTGTTCAAGTGGAGCGTAGCCATCTGTTGACTTACGTGTTGACTTATGATGGGGGTTGCTTTTTTCAACACATCAGTTGCAATTTCAGGTCATTGTTGGTGTGTACACACTAGGCGATCCAATCCCAATCACGAGCCGAAAGGAATTACCGTCCATCGGCCATGGCTTCGTCGCCGCGTAACTCGCGTTCCCGCTCGCGCTCACGTTCACCAACGCAGTCTGCGTCTCGGCGCTCTCCTGGTTGCAACGCGCGCAAAAGCTCCGCATCTCGCTCTCGCTCCCGTTCTGCCTCTCGGTCCGCGTCCAGTACGTGCCTTCCCTCCCTCCCTACGCGTTAAATATCCCTCCTAAAAATCCTCATTGTCCTGCATTCCATTAGAAGCGCGTTCGTCTGCTGATGAGAAATCCCCCAGTCGTAGCAAAGAAGCATCCAAATCGAAGACTGTGACGCTGCGCGTCGAGAACCTCACGCGCAACGTGAATGCCGACCACCTGCGCGAGATCTTCGGCAAGTTCGGTGTCGTCGTGCGCGTTGACATGGCCGTTCCTAGAGGCAAAGCCAGTGCCTTTGTGGCCTTTGCTGCTCAGAAGGATGCGGACAATGCCAAGGACCACATGCACGACGGCTGGCTGGACGGCAACAAGCTGCGCGTGCTGCCGGATGCCCCCAAGCCTGAGCCTAATCGCACGGTAACGCACTCGTCGCTGTCTCCAAGAAGCCGTAGTCGACGCGGCGGTCGCTTCCGGTCGCCTTCGCCGGCACGACGTGGAGGAAGAGGGCGACGCGCCGCGTCACCGTTCAGAGGACGCAGTCGGAGCCGCAGCTTTGGCAACCGACGTGGACGCTCCCGTTCGCCGGCATTCCGTCGCCGTGCGCCGTCGCCATTCCGTGGAGGACGACGCAGTCCGTTCCGGGGTCGTCGACGCTCTCCAAGTCCATTCCGACGTCGTCGTAGTCCCAGTCGTAGCAGAAGCCGCAGTCGGAGCTTCAGCAGAAGTCGCAGCCGCAGCTTTAGCCGTTCGCGAGGCCGCAGTCGAAGTCGCAGTGTGAGTCGCAGCCGGAGCCGCAGTCGAGGACATAGCTCTAGTAGCCGCAGTCGAAGCTCCAGTCGCGGCCGGAGACGCCGCAGCCCCAGTCGGAGCCGAAGCAGAAGCCGCAGCCGCAGCTAAGGACAGTACGAGCCTCAGTGATGGCCTGCACACTTGCTCAAGTGTTTTTGACTTTGCTGCTTTACTGCCGTTTCTAATGAATACATCACGTCCTTGGATTCTTGACAATTGCAAAACTACCAGACGTGCTTGCTTAGCTAGTTAACTCCCCCAATTTCTCTACGTACTTGACAGCATGCTGCGCCTCGCGTAGCGTCGCACAGGCGTGTTGACGCTGTCTCCATGTACGAGATCCTGCACATCATCGCTGGACAAAGCGCGATTCTCGAAGCCGCGTGTCCGGCGGTTCACTGATGGTCTGCGGAAGCTGCGCGAGGCAAAGTCGCTCGTGGTCGAGTTCTCCCGTACCCGGTCCAACGTGCTGATGGACGGTCGAGGATGAGCGCCGGCGTTTATCGTGGCGTTCTCGCGTGCTCTATTGCCTCCACTTCCACGCGAGAGCGCAGACACTGAGAAGAAGCGTCGTCGACCTTGACCGTGACGCGCGCCGCGGAAAACGTTGCCTGCTGACCGTGACGGAGACTCCTCTACCGACGTGACAGCACGTGCTGTACGCGTGTGTGGCAACCGCGTGCTCTCTGTGAAATCCAAGTCTCCATCCGAGTCGAACGGCAGACGGTGGAACGCCAGTGAGCCGCGACTGGCGTGGCGATCGAAGATCGACTTGGTTCTCTTGGCGTCGCGCGCGTATCTGTCGGTAGACATGAAGGACTCGACCATAACACTCTCGGCGTCGTAGCTGAACGCGCTGCCTCTTGTGATCGAGCGCCGGCTGCCAATGCGGCCAATAAGCGGGCGCGCGGCCATCACGACGGCAGGAGCCATCGGCTTGGTCACACTTGTATCGCGCATACTGGACGTCAGTACGGATCCGGCCACACGACCAGCTTCGCCGCCAAGTGCGCCCTCTGGAATCTTCTCGGCTGGCGGGAACGTGAGCAACTGGTCGGCGATGTGGGTGAGACCAAAGGCATTCACCTCTTGTGCTAAGTGCTTGTACGATGGCCGGAACATGCGCATGTATCCCTTCCACATAAAGTCGCGCGACAAGGCTGCGACCACGAGAAGCGGCAGGACTAACCAGAACGCGTCGATACGGAACGTGTTCGAGAACACGCCGTTCCAGTACGACGAGCTGACCGAGTCGCCGGCAGAAATGAAGGCTGCTGTGCCGATCCAGAGCATGAAAGACCCGATGTAGATGGCGATGTGAACAGGCCACCACATCTGCTGATGCAGACACAGTTTAAGCGTCACCACGATCAACACTATCGTAAATGACGTGCATCCATACACCCACATCGTGGGCGTGTCACCACCCGTAACCAGATAGCGCATCCCGTATACGACACCGAAGCAGATGATAAGCGACTCCCAGACACACGACGTTATCCAGGCCCACACAACTTTAGTGTTAAACCGCGTGTTCTCCTGACCGATACGGTATAACAGCGGATAACTGTGCGCAAGACACGCCGGTACGTCTTGTTCGAAGGTACTCACGAGGACAATCGGTAACGCGGTGAAGAGCAAGTTGTAGCCCTGAAGTCCCCATTCAAGGAAGAACTTCTGTCCCGAGTAGCCCGTGTAGATCATGTACCAAAACTGTGTCAAGTTCAGGATAACGTTCTTGTAGAAGATATACAGGATAAGCTTGCCCATACGCACATAGTTCCAGCGTCCATGAACCAGCAAAAGTCGCGATAAGAACCGGAACTGCGCAATAGCATAATCCGACGAGTTGGCCGCCTGCATACCTTCTTGGCCCGAGATACCCACACCCACGTGTGCTGCTTGGATCATCGAGACATCGTTGGCGCCATCGCCAATAGCTAGCGTTCGCATCTCCGGGTTATTATCCCGTACCAGGCGTACCAGCTGTGCCTTCTGAGCAGGAGAGACACGACACGCGATCACTGCGACGCACTTTTCAGCCACTTTAAGCAGCAATTCAGGACATTCTTCGAGTGCAAGTTCCAGCGTTTCTCCATCAATTACCAGCGCCAGCTCCTGCTGGTGCATTTCGGCCAAACTTTCAATACGCGTCAACCGTTTACGTTGATGTACAATCGACGAGCTTCGTGTCTCCAGCGGCGTCGAAGCAGCAAGAGCTCCACATGCAGTCGAAGCAGACGTGTCCTCGTTGTCCACTTCCCGAGCGTACGCTTCCAACTCGTCCACGATCGAAGCCAAATCTGGGTGGGTATCAGCCGAGATCACGACCCGTTCGATGTCTGAAGCCAAGAGACGACACGCAAAGCCGATGTTGATCGCCGTCTCCTCCTTGTCACCTGTAAGCATCCAGATCTTGATTGAAGCCTGACGTAACTTGTAGATTGTGTCGGGTACCTCGGCTTGAAGGCGGTCCTCGATAGCTGTTGCACCCAAGATGTCCAGGTTCTTCTCGATCTCCTCCATAAGCCGATCGATGTCGTTATCTTCGCCATTACGACGCAGATCAATCTGACGCATATCGTTGATTGCAGTGCGGTATCGAATCACCCACGACTCGAAGAATTCGGGATCAACGTCGGTCGTACCGATCACTAGAGTACGTAGACCCTCCGAGGCGAACTGTTCCATGTGCTGCAGCGTTAAATTACGCGTCTGTTTAACTGCAGGGTCATTTGTTGGTCTCAGACGCTCGTACATGACAGTATCTGCTCCCTTACAGAAGAGTTTCAGCGCTCCATTAGGCTCCTTGACGATAACCGACATCCGCTTACGTGTGCTGTTAAACTCAAGAACTTCAAGCACCTCGTACGTTCCAACAGCATGGTCTGCGACTGGCTGGTTGCAGACCATCGCGTCCGGGTTATCCACACACGAGAAATACTCCACCATGGCCTTACCAGGTCCACGAGCCACGAACTTGTAGCCGAAGCAGGCAGCCGCAGCGACCAGCGCTTGTTCATCCGGAGACGACGCACTTAAGCGAAGACTGTTGTCCGGAGCCTTCTCCGGCATGACTGTGTGGCACACAGCCAAGTGTTCAAAGAAGGCTCCAATAGCCTTCGCCTGCGCACTGTTCTTCTGTGCTAATGCGTCAAATACCGCGTCGTCCTGATAGTTCACGAACGGCGCTGTAACGACGCGATCTGTTGGCGGATTGTTCGAGTCTGGCGCAGTATCCACGCGGTCTTTCCTCATCGGTACAGCGCAGCCTCCACCGGGAGTCACAGCGTAGAAAGAAGAGGTCGTAGGAGCTTCTTCCTGTTGACGTTTCCTGGCTGCAATACCCACTTCTGTCTCGCCGTGACCATAGGCTACTCCATTGATGGAACACTTACGGAACTCCATGATGTTACACGTCAACGTACCGGTCTTGTCCGAGAAAATGTAGTCGATCTGACCCAGTTCCTCATTCAGAGACATTGTACGCACTTGACACGGCGTGTCTGTGTCTTCATGATACATTTCCAAGTCGTTGTTCATAAAATACGACTGCATGAACTTCACAGACGTCATACTCACATACAGCGACACTGGGATGAAGGAATTCAGCAGTAAGAAATAGTACAATACCATGATAAAGAAATTCCCCACTGGAGACTTGATTGCTGTCGAGCCGCCGTCGTACAGATACCACGCCGCCTTGTGCTTGTCCTTATCCAGATACTTCGCATTCCAGACCGTCGATAAGATAGCTCCGGTCAAGCACAGCACCACCATAAGCACACAGATGTATAAAATCTGTCTGTTAAGCCGTCGTTCCATGTTGCTCCACTTCATAGGCTCAGAAGATGAAGCCATCATGATCTTGGTGTCCGGCCCAGTGTTCACTACCAATCCATAGATATACTCCGTGTTACGTAGAGTTGAGCCACGTAACACGATAGCATTGGTCGTAATGACCTCCTTCTTGCCCCCTTCAAGTGTCATTGAGCCACTAAAACGGTGGATTGAGTTATTAGGAGTCTCACACACCACAGTTCCCTTCAGATTCCCCACTGCTGCGTCGTTTAGTAGCACTGTATAGGTGCCTTCCAGACCTTGTCGGAGCTTAAGATTCGTCTCTCCATCAAGTGATTTGGTCTCCACGTAACAGATACCCGCCGGATTGTTAGGATCTGGCTCACAGGCGCCTAAAATCACCAGATCCGCCGGCACGGGGTCTCGGTTAGCCACTTTAACGACATCTCCGACCTGTAACGTATGCCATTTGGCAGGTTCGAACGATCTCGTGTCTCTCTGGTATCTCTGACAGGGCAAATTATTGGCGATATGGTCCGCTTTGTGACGCTTATAGTCCTCCAGACACGCGAAGAACATGTCGATGAGCACAATAATGGACAATGCCGGTAAAGAAGCAGGGAATCCCCCCGTATTGGAAATGGGCTTGATGGTCTGCATGATGGAAATGACCAGGAAATACGCATTCGCCAGCTTGCTGAACTCGTAGAAGAGCAATTTGGGCAAGAAGTTGTAGATAGTGAAGCGACTGGTGATGACCAGATTGGAGCAATAGCCCAGCGCCGCGTTCTTCTCGGGGGCATTCAGGTACACGTACCGGTAGTCCTGGTCGTCTGTGTCCTCCTCGTCGCGCTTTGTGTCCTCCTGGACCTGACTTAATTCGGTCTGGCTGCCCACATCGTCCACCTGGACGTCCACCACGTCGCTGCCCAAGATGCTGTCGGCCTCGATCTCGTCCTGAAGGGGCGATGGTTGCGCCAGGAGCGCGTAGGGCGCGGTGGGCGTGCCGCCGTCCTCGTCCCTAGGCATATGCGTAGCGGAGACGAATGGAGAGTGGCGATAGGCAGATGGATAGCACTACGGCAGATGGCTTGTGTCTGGTTGTTGCTGTTGTCTTTTGAGACTGATCAGAGAAGCCATTTTGGGAATTTCATCTCTTTTGGTGCATAAATGCGACAGAACAGATATTGGGATAAAGAATAACCTGCTGAAGAAATTATTGGATTGAAAAGGGGAGAAAAGATTGATTGAAAGTTGATTTCGACCGATATTTGATACCCTACTGATGTGAATAGCTGTGTTGGTTCCATGCAGTTGAGGAGGGGATATCAATCTGAGCTGTGGTCTGGATCATTACGACGCCGCTGGACTGCTGTTCGCACGAACAGATTGCCACCTTGCCACGATGTCACGCGGTTGTGTAGGTACACTGCTCTCCATGAGCGAGATTCACATTTCCAAGCGGTCCTTGGCGACCTCGCTATCGGCGAGTTACCAATATCGGCTGCGCCCCACAACTTATTTGTCACCCTTTGAAAGGAGGGATGCGCTCGTGCCACAATCAGCGAGCGACGCCTCCATGTACATGTACCTTCAATGGGCGCAGCAGTATCCGATCATTTCAGATTCCGAAAAGGTTGGTGTGGGCCTGGTCGTTAGGCTATTTGCACATGCATGGGTACATTTACCCGCGTGTATTGCTGCTAACTCGGTTTACGAACACAAGTATAGTTGCCTTTTCAATGGGTTTTCGGTGCTGGAAGTCGTGGACGGCACGTCGCTTATCCAGTGCGGGACAAAACTGCTGGACTATCTCACCGATCCAATACAGTGTGCCTCATTTGGAAGAGAGATCGTTATCAACCGTCCTCTCCAGAGTGAAACAGAGATGGAACGTATATCCATGCACTTTGTCTACTACACAACATGCTTAATAGTAGATTCCATTCGGGTGCAGCCTGCAATTGATTCTGTTTTATAGAATCCTCTTCATCAAGTTTTTCTTTGCGGTCACGGTGGTATAATACATGTAGTGGATCACCTGCCGCGCCTCGTTGAACGGATTGATTATGGTACGTATAACCATCGATTCCTTCACTGTCTCGCAAGCGCATGTGGAAACAATACCTTGGGCTAACATGTAAGCAAGAAATGGAGTGTCGGGGAATACTCTGCATCTCTCAAAAATAGGCTGCAGTTCGATTGGCCGGGTGAGAGCGGGACCGCTCTGAGATCTATTACTGTGCATCGACGCTGTTGCCTTATCAAGCAGACACGTTATTGTTGTAAGTGCACGGGAACAGCAGCATGTCAAGACCTTCGTCAGTAGCCAAGGTGGAGGTGCGGCAATTAGGCCATGAGATCAAGCGTCAGCCCAGCGAAAAACACCCGAGACGTTCATGGGGTACAGGCACCGCGGGGCCACGGGAAGGCCAGTACTTGGTTGGCCGTAGAGCCAGGAAGACGCTCATGCGACGGCACATATTCAACCTGCTCCGTCGTCTCGTAGTAATCGCCGCTTCCATCCAGTACATCGTTGTCTCCATGACCGCAACTGAACGCACAATTCAAGCTCTGAAGGGTGATCATAACCCGCCCGAGTCATTTCGAGTCTTCACAGCGTCCCTTATCGCTGGGTACGTGGGCAAAGGTCTCATCCGAGACAGCGCCCTCTTTCAAAAAGTATTGGAAAACGATACTACTCCCCGAGACCACGCGGTGTTTCTGGAAGCCAAGAACCAAACCTCATTCCAGAATTGCTCTGGTTTACCCAAATTCAATCCTAAAATCTACAGTTTCGAGTATTTGAGTCACGCTTATCTCCAGATGGCGGATGCTGCGAAATATAACGTCACTGTTCTTGAAGACTTTGAGCTCGTGACAGTCGTAGTAGACTGTAGCTTCACCAATCTCAAGTCAGGAGACAACGCCATGGTGCGATTCTTTAACTTGGTGCGTTCACGAGTTGATCCAACAGATCTGCACATGGTTACCATGTCACTCAATGTCCAAGATTACGAGATTCGCAGTCAAAAGAAGACGGGACCCTGCATTTTGACCATGATTTCGATAGTAAAAGACATGAGTGCGGGGGCTACAGGGGAGTTCTATCTTATGGCGCTAACGTATCCGTACAAGCGCTCAATGGGGTTTGAGGTGTACGAGTTTATGGGGATAACCATCGATAGCTATCTGGAGCTGCGTACTATACCAGAAGACCCACTTACACAGCCAGCAAATCGCGTGATCACGGCGAGGAAACGTGGTTTCTATGATGGTCAAGAACAGTCGAATATTCGGTATATGTACACAATGCTGGATACAAACGCGACGACGGCAATGACTCGCTGGGAGTGGCTTGGTGAGGCTGTAATTTCGGATTCGTGGGCCTGGGTACACGGGTTGCACCTCATCTTCGGGTTACAGACGATCTTCTCTCTAATTGTGCTATGTCTGGTGGCATTCCAGAATGCTCGGTCTGGAAAACTTTGGATCGGAGACCCGTTTGCTTCCGTTTCGACAACCACTCTTGTCACACGTGGTGTACTAGTGGTGATCTCGTGGTACTTGAATTCGTTCTGGATGTTGTTTGAGTTTTGCTTGTCTATTGCTGGCAAAATCTCCAAGACCCAGATTGTAAGAGTTCACACTGAGCTGGTACATGCGGATGTTCTCGTCGTATATTTGAGCTTGGTTGGTCTGCTGAGCTCCATTTTCCGGGAACGGATAGACCCATCGGTCGCTATATTTCTGTTTGAAATTATTTTTTCAAAGCACCAAACTCTTCTCACTACTGCAGCAGCAGTTAAAAAGGAGGTTGTGACGTACTCCGATAAAGTCTTTTACATGGGCGTACCGAAGGTCTCATCGGCTGTAGCAGCCATGTCTCCATTGCGATTGTGGAGTGCGTTCCAGATACCGCTTAGTAAAGACGGCACATTCCTCTTTACGTCATTTTTTCCGAATGCCATTTTACTATCGATTATCGCGGGTTTTGCTATTTTGCATAAAATTTATCGGCACTTCTACCCGGAAAAGCATCGACAACGATCAAGTGTACTAAGCACAGAGCGATCGTCAGTTAATGAGAGGACAGAGCTTGCGTTGAAAGGCAACCTCACGAACTTCGAGATCTCAACGGGTGCTGAGCTTCGCACTCGGTTTGGTATCATCTCCGACTATAACAACTACGTTTACTTCAAAGGCATGAAGTTCGCGTCAGCTGATGGGGTCTACTGTTCCGGGTATGTCATCGTGAATGGTAAAATGCTTGTGGGAGTCAAGGATCTCTTGTCGATCGGCCTTATTAAAGCCACTCATTCCAGGTTTACGAACGTCTATGTATATGAAGTGGAAGGCAATACGGTGAAGGATACAGCACGACTGGTTTATCCGAATACGTTCACATGGTCTGATCTCTGGCATTTAAATGTCACGGTACTACTTTAACCAACAGGGGGAGGGGGTTAGCTGCGCAGCGAGTAACTTTGTGATTTGGAACAGTTCAATTCGAGTGAAACTGATCACCGACGCCATGTACTCCGAAGCATCGACTGCTCGCTGCTATACCAGTCTCAGGCTTTATCGGGAAATGCCATTTCTAAAGGAGAGCGTGTTGCTGATAACGCAATAAAATTGTGGTTTCCAACTGCTATCGTCGTTACATGCTTTACAAAACAAAGCATATATCATTTTGTTTGCTCACCATCTCGTAAATTTGGGTCATACTTCTGATCTCCAGTTTGTGTGAGCGTTCCAGGTTGGTCTACGTTCACGATTCAAGATTGTATTCGACCCCATCCAACATGCTTTGAGTCAAATGTGGAACACGTTCGTGCCGTCCACATCCTGTCAACAACAGCATCAACACCTTATTTAAGTAGCACGGGAGAGATTCTCCTAAACCCCAAGCAGGGCTCACAATAGAAAAATGCAGCAGAGCACTCCGTTTCGTACGCTCACTTGCCAACAATAGCACCTCCCGCAAGAGCAGTCAACAACCCACATTAGATCTTTTCTCGACACGTAACAACGAGTCACTCCCTATGAACATGCCTCCAGTCGAAAATGGTAATAGCTTCTGGGGGACGGCAATGGCGAAGGTGCAGGTAAAAGCGCAGGGCAGTGGTGTATCCAAGCGCTCGGTTCGCACCTCGCTCTTCAGTCGCGAAAAACTGTACGTCGTTCAAGATAAGCAGTCCCGAAAAACGACGTCAGGGAAGGGTTTCCGCTCTGGCCAGCCTAGATCGAAGCAAAAGTTCTCGAAATGGCAAGTGTTCAACATCGTCCGTCGGCTTGTGGTCATTGCCGCTGCAATCCAGTATCTCTACATCTCCTTGTTGGCCACTTGGAGGACGATCGACGTTCTTCGATCGATGACCAATCCAAAACAATCTTTTGGAGTTCTCACGTCGTCACTGATTGGGGACTACGTTGGGGACGGTCTCATTCGAGACAGCAAGCTGGTTCAGGATGTGTTGGGTGGAGATACAACACCACGAGACTACGCTCTCTTCCTCGAATCTGACACACAAGTCTCGACCTCAAATTGCTCGGACGTGCCGCTATTCAACTCGGACATTTACAACAACGCGTTCCTCGGTCGCACCTACATGGAAGTAGTTCGTGATACCAGCTATAACACGACAATCCTCACAGAGTTGGAGCTTGTGGCTGTGGTCGTGGACTGCACCACTACCCAGTTGAAGACGGGGGATCCGTCCATTGTACGGGTTTTCAACATAGTGCGGTCTCTCAATGACACTACCGATGTGTCTTTAGTCGAGATGTCGCTGTCGGTGCAGGACTACACTATGTGGTCGTACAAGAAATACGGCCCAGCGATTGTTGGAATGGTTACGGTTATCCATGACATGCAGGCAGACATAACCAAACAGATCTACATGATGGCACCAACGTATCCGTATCAGCGCTCTATGGAGTTTGAAATTTTCGACTTCATACGGATAACCAACAACAGTTACAGAGAACTGCAAAGTATCCCAAAGGAACCGGAGACAGAGCCAGTAAAGCACTTGGTCACGTCACGGAAACGTGGCTTCTTCGATGGTGACGTCCAGGCAAATATCCACTCCATGTACTCGTTACTCGATAAATCTGACCCAAAAAGTGCGTTAACGACTTGGGAATGGTATGGCGAGTCTCAAATTGAAGACACGTGGGCCTGGGTGCACGGAGTTCATCTCGTCTTCGGCATCCAGACGCTTGTTTCGTTAATCGTGCTGTTTCTAGTGACGTACCAGAATTTTCGAGCGGGAAAAATATGGATCGGTGACCCATTTTCTCCCGTATCGACTGCGACGTTCGTGGGTCGCGCACTCCTTGTAATGCTGTCGTGGTACGTCAACTCATTCTGGACTTTGTTTGAGTTCGCGCTGTCCAATGCTGCAAAGCTGTCAGGAACCGAGATTGTTCACGTTCACAAAGAACTGGTCCACGCTGACGTCCTGGTCGTGTATCTCGGTCTTGTGGCGTTTCTAAGCTGGTTGGCTCGAGAACGAATTGACCCCTCGGTTGCTATCTTCATGTTCGAGATTATCCACAAGCATCGCTTGAGCTTCATCAAAATCTCTCCCCCAATTCTACGTAAAATCGTGAATTACTCGAACAGTGTGTTTCAACTGGGCAATGCTCCAAAGTCTGCTGCTGTTGCCGAGATGTCTCCGCTGTCCTTCTGGCGCACCTTCCAGATCCCTACAAAGGATGGCACGTTCCTCGCTGCATCATTTTTCCCAAAGATCAGCTTGTTGGGGATGATCGGTTTCTATGCCGTTATGCGTAAGATTTATCGGTACTTCTTCCCAGAACGAGTTCAACATAGATCAGGGCAAAGCACGAATGTTTCAGGGAATGAGAAGGCAGCACTCGCGCTGAAAGGGAATTTTACCAACTTTGAATTATCGACGGGTGCAGAGCTTCAGACACGCTTCGGGATTATCTCGGACTACAAGAACTACGTGTACTTCAAAGGGATGAAATTCGCGTCTGCAGACGGTGTCTATTGCTCTGGATATGTGATCGTAAACGGCAAATATTTGGTGGGAACCAAAAACTTACTTGCGATTATCATGATGAAACTGGTGCGCGCTCGCTTTACCAATGTTTACACGTACGAAGTGGACGGCAACACAGTCAAAGAGACCGCAAGACTTGTATATCCAGAGACCTTCACGTGGTCCGACTTGTGGCGTCTCAATGTCACAGTGCTGCTCTAACATTCGGTTTAATACAGCACATCACACAGTATTAGAGTTATCGCAGTATTGTCCTGTCAGTTTCGAGATAAACTGTAGATGCAAGCGGAACTTACATGTCAATTCATAATCAATTTTTCGGCTTTCGGATGTGCAGCATTCGCAGTTGATGGAGAGTATACAACGATACATTTATAACAAAAAAATAATGAAATAAAAGCAATCCATTAAGTATCGGCAAGAACCTGTAGAGATAATCTAATAAGGCTGACACCTGTTATATTATCTCAGTAACTAAACTAGTTAATGTAAAATACTGTACTGGAATCTCCGTACAATACTTATTTTGGAATGCCTGCTTGAGCCGATGTGAAGAGAGATAATTTACATGAACACTATGTATCCGGTTGTTATGGGTGTTTGGCTAGACGAAATTCAAGTTGGAGGCTTGATCACTGACGACACATGAATACTGTTGTGTTTTCATCTTCATTTTGCCAATATTTCCAATGGAAGCCTTCTAAAAACAATTTGATCAGGTAAATCGATATTTTTTTCTTAAATTACAAAGCGGTTTAATGCTCATCAAGAACGGTTGCTGAAGGGCGAGCAAGACTGAGTATTTTTAATCTTTCTGTTTTTAATTTGATAAAACAACAACCATACCAACGAATCGGATCGCTTTCTAACTCAGAAATCAATTTCATTTCAGAGTTAGAAAGCGATCCGATTATACAACTATGCGCTGCGAAGAAGGGTGAACGTACATGAATCCCGATTGTTTGTCCTACTTTCTAACCTCCTTGTGTACGTCTTGCGTGTAGCCAGGAGCTGGATCTTGAATTATAGTGTCTAAGAAGTCGGCGATGGCGTTGAATCATGGCATTTAGGCTGTCGGAGTAGTGGATCCCCTTGGAGATGCTTGAAAACCGCGCTCGATACACGGGAGTTGATGCCGTGCTCCCTTTTCAAGTATGCGAGTACGGTCTCCTCGGCGCGCTTCCCATGATCAAACACTCGGTCCCGGTAGTCCGCGGCCTTTTGGCCGAGCACAAAGCCGTCTTCAAGAAACAGCTTCATGAACGCAACTAGCAGCTTGCTTTCGACCGCTGCTGCTTTGGTTCTCCGGCATGCCAGCGTGGCTCTTGCGCATACCAGGTAAACCAACTTGCGTGAAATTGCGTAACAAGATCCTCTGCGTTGTTTCTTCTTGGGCTCGCTCACATCTGCTGTGTCTTCATCTTGCCTGTTTCTCTTGTGCGTTGCAGCTACAGGATCTCCGTTTAGCTTTGCCTCTAGCATGTCCATGCGGGCATCTTGGAGCTTGGAATTCTCGATAAGGTGTTTAAAGACAGCGACTTCGTGAACGGTGATCTTCTGTTCTTGGCTTGGCTCTCTTGGGTTGAACTCGTGCTTGCGTGGTGGTGTGGGGGTTCTTCACTTTCTTTACAGGGGTTCCGAGCTTCAACAAGATGGGCTGACCAGGCAAGGAGATCCGCAAGCGTACGCCCAGCGTGTGCAACACAGGTTTCGAGTCGATTCACCGCAGGACTTTTAGGATTCAAGTCCTCCAATACAGGATAGTGTCGAGCGAGGCAGGCGGTAAGAACATCCAGAACCTTTCGGCTGATGTTGAAGGCCTCCGTCTCAAGCTGGTAGCAAGCTGCGAATAGTACCCGTTGAAACCGAGCGATCGAGCCAAGCGTGCGCGTCGTCGAAGCTGGACAGGTCTTGGAGATGGACAGCAGCCGACGGTTTGTATCCGCTCAATACCTTGACAATCATGTGATCTTCTCTACTCGTATGAATATGTAGTTGGATCCCTTGTTTGGGGTGCTTAGATTCCAAGATCTGGAGCCCAAGATCCAGCGAGCAGTCATCTTCTCGCAGCCGTTGGCATGGTGTGCCCCACCGCGGCGGAAGGAGTGCGACGCTAGTGCAGCCGACACACCAACGGCAGGGCAGACGCGATCAAGCACACGGTTGACATGCGCGTATATCGTTGATGTCGTGCCAGCACGAGGAGGTGGAAGCGCAGGCGTCGAAAGACCAGTGGTCGACAGTGGTGCGTTGAGAAGCTCCACGAGCGGAACATCCGGTGAGTGCGGGGTCGGTGTTTGTAGGGATGGTGATGGCTTCGTAACAAAAGCTCCACCATGTACGAAGGCTGACTTGAAAAAAATGATGTTATATTTGTATACTAATGCATGTTCTGAGAGTGACTAATAATATGTTGCTCTTCTGTGTCTTCTCTGATACCTGTTCGGGGGAGCGTCCGACTTGTCAATGATCAAGAAGCGAAACGGTCTTGGTCGGGCAGGTTGTCGATCAGAACGGCGCGGCTTGGACGGATAGGGCAAGTGCGACAGCGAGCAAGGGACACGTAGAAAAGTCAGCGTCGAAAGGCCTTGATCTTCCGATTCTTGACACGGACAAAGCGGAGGAAGAAGACATCAACAGAATCAATGGAAACTTTTCAAACAAAAGCCATCTAGAGTTTTTTTTTCGTTTTAAGCAGCCGTGATTCCAGTGGCACTCGGTGCTGGGCAAATTGCTCTAGAAGCTAAATCTTTGCTTGGCGGTAGTACTGCATTACAGTGTTTCACGCTAGCAAGTTGCTCTTCTTTTCATCACTAAACGCAAGATACATTCCTAACTTGTCCATGACACATACAAAGCTCTTGCCACTTTCATCTACCTCAATACATTTTCTTACATTTTCCTCTTCAACTTCCTCTTCCTTCAAAATCTTGGAGAATGCTGCGACAGCAGTTGCCTTGGCACGCAATGTGTTGCTGGGCTGCAGCTCCTCCAAACCCATCGTGAGGGTCCTATAAAGATAAATAGGAAAGTGACACGCCAATTGAAACGTTTGGCGTGAACCCGGGTTCCCATCCTGCCCCGCCAGCTGGGAAAAGTACTGGTAATACCCTTCTACAGTAGGAATTTTTTTATTAAAGTTACGGGTATGATGGTATAAAAAGTATAAGCAAATGAATCTCAAGTGCTTTGTCCAAAGCCACCTACAGGCCGGTTGTTGAAGAAGGCTTTTGTGCCGTACTAAAAACCTGTAGAATGGAAGGTTGGTTAGGTTTCAAGGTGGTCTTCTTCTTCTTTGGCCGGCATGGCTTGCGCTTCGACTGGAGCTTGGGCGTACTTTCGGCGTCACTAGCTACAGCCCCCAAATCAGGAGCGTCAATGATGGAATCAGGTACTACCGGGTAGTAGGTAAGGTGTTGTTGCGGGATCGAAAAATATTTTGCCGATAAGGACTTCATCTTTTTGTCCGACAGATCTTGCGTTGGCTTGCGAGGTAGGTGCACACTGTGGATTGAAGCTTCCCATAAAGTTTGAATCGAGGGACCAAAAAGCTCCGTGATAAATGCCTTACGAACAGTTTCGATGCTCGTACATTTGACCATATTAAACGTGATAGCCTCGTCATCTGGAGTTTGCACAGTTTTTCGAGCGGTACAGATACCTTGGTCTATTTCAAAGAGGTAATTGGAGGTGTAACCCGCTGGAGGTGCAGTAAAGTATTTGTGAAGTACAGTTCCCCATTGCTCGAAAAACGGGCGGGTAGGCTTGTTGTGATCGAGAAATACTCCATGTACACTTTTGACTTTGTTGATTTCCTCCACAAGCAACTGAGGTGTGTATATATTGGCTTTGCGGGTTGCGCGTCTGCACCACGCAATAACACGGTCGGCAATGTTGTGAGAATGACCAGGTAACAAGAAACAAAGAACCACTTTCTTGTACGGGAACACCACCGACAACATGGCGAAAAATATCATGACCACTTTGGACTTGTTCTGCCCTACACAGTTGTCGAGTAGGCTAAAACTTATTTGAGCTGGTGGCACACCATTTCGAGCGTCATTTTGCAATGTCGTTAAGTGGTAGAGTAACCGTAGACTGCAAAGTGCATCGGCGTCCTTGCCCTGGACACGTTCGTCATAACAATAGACGTGATTGCGGCTGCTTGGGATGTCCACAACAACAAAATTCTGGGTAATTAAATTGCTGTTAAAATAATTGGCAGACGGGCGTGAAGGTCCATAATAAGGCATTGATATTCCACCTCCAAAGTCCTCTGCTTGAATCTGAACGCGCGTTGTATCGTGTTTATCTAACATTTCGTCAGTCGACTTATAGTCCGTACTGATATTATCAGTAGGTGAGTCATCAGACGGCGAGTCGTACGTGTCAGGTAGAATTATACTCGGAAGTTGCTGATCTGGTGCATGCAAACCCGTATAGTTCTTAACAAACGTCGATACAAAGCGATTGCCTCGTCAATGTGTGTCGTTTTTGCCAGTAGAAGCGTTTGCTTCTCATCGTCCGTAATTCAAGGATCTTTAATTGAATATCCAGTCTGACACAGCAATCGCGATCGTCCTCCGTGGTTCTGGTTAGCCGAACGCCAGGGTAGTGGAAATGAATGTATTGGGTAAACCTGGAATAGCTTAGCACTCGGGCACTCGAGTCCAAACGAGTGATCACTTCAGCATAGCGAGAATGAACTACTTTCCAAGTTAAATTTGGCTCAGTAAAATATTGTCGAGGTCGGCGGTGAGCACATGGAAAACCATCCTCTAGAATTCACGTAGCACAATGGTTTTTAAAAGCGTCAAGATCCTTATCACTTATTGCATGCGGAGGTGTCGCTTTAGATTTACGAGTATGCCATACATCCACACCCAACGTATGAATCTTTTGTAAACGACCAACACGAGAGCCGCCAGCCGGAATTACAGCTCTTATTTCCTGCTGAGATAACCCCTGCTCTAAAAGCTGCATAATGACGCCTTCAGATTGGCTCCCCTCCTTACCACCATACCCAGTGTCTCTCCAGTCCAAGTTTAGCGACTGCTCGTAGATACGCGGCCTCATCTCGATCATGCACTTTCCTGGGCCTTCGCGGGGGTATGGTCGTTTGTGAGCCTCCACTTCGGCGTGGGGCCATTGTTAGTGCTCGCTTCGTCCAAGTGGAAGATGAAAACTCTGCAACCACCTTCGTTCGGATAAAAATAAATAATCCAGAGTTTGTTCAGTTTTATTTGGGGGAACCCGGGTTCCCGCCAACCGCTTCAATTGAATGAACATACACGTATTTTAGGAGTTCATCGGACTTAATACGTCCGATTGGGTGGTTTAGGTGACTCACCTACACCTACATTGTCCTATTGGCTAAATATACAATTATTATTAGCTGTGATTGGCTAAAATTAAATGTTGATAGTTCATTGGCAATTTTTCACTAAACAAAGTTCAAGTATAGTTCGATAATCTAACATATTCATCCATAAAAATTCAAATGATCCGTTTGATATCGATGACCATCCTCAGTCTTACCATCGCGAGCACTTTTCAGAACAAAAAATAGGGGGGGGGGCAATACGGGACGGACATTTAGCGCGAACAACACGGAGGCTGCTAATCTTAAAAGGGGTATACCTGCCGAAAAAGCAGCCCTCACACTGTCGCTTTCTTTGAATGGTTACCGACCAACATGACCTAGATGTATGTCGGGCATGCTTTTAGCGATAATCCATCACTATCGAGCTTTTATTGGCATATAAACCAATGCAGCCGTCGACAAAGTTATCATACTTTCATTGGCGTGTAAGGCGAGGCGGGTGAGTGCTTGTTATCGCCCAGGGTGTACAGTGGCCCGGTGAAGTAGACTTTACCGAATGATCATCACTGGGCGGTCGGATGGACCGTTCCGGCTGGCGTGTGGCCTTGTGGTAACCCTCTTGGGTGTCATTATCTTCGTAACTTCTGTTTCGTACCAAGTAAGTGGTCAGACATGTGTAGGTAATCAGTTGATAGTGGAGAATCAACGCACATTTCAGTACGCATCTTTCGAGACCTAATAGATAACCTGCAAAATACAGTTATACCCACACAATATGTCTCTTAATATCTAGCTCTGTGGCAAATAGGGCAGTAGTCCAGCCAAATGAGGTGATTCTCAAAACACTGGTCAGTCCAGGAACTTCTTCTCACTTTTAGTTCAGCAATTCGCGCCCCACCCTTCAGAAAGGGATAAAAATACACAGTATAATCCTTCCTTTCACATGATAATCGGTCGTTCAGACTTAGTGGTGACTACTTTTAACCTCCCAAGAAGTTGTATCATACATAATTGTATTTAGTATACACTTTCACGTGGTGACAGGGGTTGTGTTGGAAGATTTTCTGTCCTCTCGAACAGAATTGAAGATGCTTTGAAAAATGACAGGAAATACATCTGGAACAAATACAGCCTAAATCCTAGATTAAATAAGGTAGAAAGCGGCAGACGTCGATTTTGTTAATCAGTGATCGAACTATCTTTCGAAACAGCAAAAAGATTTGATTTAAGTGATATTGATGTGGATTTGTCGGTAGATCGATTCCAAGAAAATTTGGATATTTCACAGTATTTTGGAGGAAATTCCACAGCTTCACGTCTCAAGTCTACAACAATCGACGACGGCAGCAGCTACAGCAGCAGCTGTCAGCTACTAGCCGCTACCAGTCAGTTGCTGGCAGCAAAACCAGCGTCTGTGTCATTGCTGGAAAGTACTGACGCTACAGCGTTCACGGAGAAGACGAGATTCACACTTCCAAAACAACTGGTCACATATTCTTAGCTGCCGCTGTTTCCATCGTTGATACCCTACGTCACCACCCAGACAGTGGCAGAACCCACACATTCGTACTGCCGCACCCGTACGCTGCCGCTACCCACCACTGCAACCCTGCAGAAGGCGACTATTCGCTGGCAGCAATATCACAATTGAGTCGACGCCAATGAATCGTTGTCAGAAGCATCTACTTGGACTCCTTTTCTAGTCCTTTCTATAAGAGCATCGTCACATGACATTGTGCTGTGTGCCATATTAACGCACATTTAAAAGCTCAGTTCGAATGACAGATATCTCATGAGCATATTAAGGCTCTCATCTCAAACATTGCATGACTCCTAAAACAAAAATGACGAGCCGGTCTTCGTGATTCTATGTGGTGAGGTCGTTGAAGACTAGCGCGGTCCGTACTGTCTACAATTATTGTTGTCAAGATTGGACCTTGCCACTAAAAGTATACAAACGTGTGGAAGGCGCTGTGCAGGAGTCTGATACTGACTGGTACGCGAAAAAGTCTATTAGAAACGAAGTGAAAAAATCGCTTTCTGGCGGATTATGGCAGGGAATCCATCTAGACATTTCTTGTTTGAGACTGGCTCGGTTGTACTGGAGAAAACATAGGCAAGCTCCAGTGATTATTGTGCTTGAGTCGAACACGCAGTTCTACGTCTACCCAGGGTGTTTCGGATCCCACGCAGGTATGGATATATGTAAACTATTGAATTTAGAGCCGGGGAGTTCCATATATTCCGTAGGACTCGGTATATGCTGGTGTTGAGTTCAAAGAAGAAAACTTAATACTGCACTGTTACGTGCGTGTTCGAGGAAAACGAGTTCAAAGAAGAAAACTTAAGACTGCACTGTTACGTGCGTGTTCGAGGAAAACGACCGATGACGTTGGGTTTAAGAGCTATATGTGTGAGTATTGTGGCTCCTGTGCACGTCGCACCGCCATGTCAGCTACCACGGACGATACTGCTCTAGTTATCCGGACAACGTGAAGACAAAGGCGACTCGCGCGAAAGCTGATGTCCGGGGAGGGCAGTGCAAAACAAAAGTGTGACCGGTCTTTCAAGAAGCAAAACGCGAAGCACCAGCACAACAACTGCTGCCACACTAAATATGCCAAACGCGCGAGCAGTGAAGAGGGTATTTGGTACGACTTCAAGGAGTCTGAGTTTAGCATAACTGAATTGTCCGTGTTCCTTGGCTATACCGTGAAAAAAAAACACATCATAACATCGACTCCCAATCCCCAAACACAGATATCACTGTACTGGGCTCCATCCGCATCTCCACGAGCGTAGCGCACTACCATGTATTTCCCAGAACACAAGAGTAGATTGCACGTAGAGCAGCAAGGGCTAACGTGTGATGGCTTTGTTCTTGATGAGACGCAACAATAAGTACAGCCATGTAAACGCATAGAGCATGATCGGATATTCCATATACCAAGACCGGATAGCCACGTGATTCAACTTGTATGTCGCATCAAAATTATTAAATAAAACTACTGGATCACGGTCTCGTCGTTTCAGGAGCATTTCCATAGTAATACCAACAACGAATAAGTTGCTGTTGGTACTTTCTCCACAGTATCTGTCCATGGGGTCCATGTCACACGAAAAATATTACGCGCTGCTCTCTTCTTCTCGTTGGTGTAGGACTTCGCTTTAATTGTGCTCTCCGCAACTTGCGGTTCGTCTATGTTGTTCAAATCTGTACCCGGCAATACGTCACAAAATTTTACACATTACTGGGATGCGATAGTTTATCCACCGGAGTTCCTCCAGACAGCGAATTCGGAAATCTTGGGCGCTCCAGGCCATTAACCTCTAGCTGGCGTGCGATTTGCGTTTGCTTAAATGTCAAATTTCCGGAAGGTGTATCCCTACCTCTCACTTCATGAAAACCAACTTCGTAAACGCTCACCAAACTGCAACTACTGCAAATTGGCCTCTTGCGTTTCCATTGATATTTCAGCGGTATACACGATACAACACGGTCTCGCAAGATGTGAGGTGAGGAATCAGTACACAGCGTACACTTTGCGGTGTTGCTGATGGTGGAGGTGTGTCTCTTGGCGTGCTACATGCTTAATTGAATGCGCAGCCCTTCAATCTCTGCCATCGAGTGGCAAAGCATCGGTTTTCCCATTCTAAGTGCAGCTGTGACACATTAATTGTTAGATTTCTTGCAAAGACGAGGTACTAGTCATGAATAACGATGTTTAACCGCGACAACTTGGCCAATCAAGGTAAAGGAGAATGTTTTTTTTGTCCACAGGCCACCAAGGCTGGAGTGAGTGAAAAGCGAGCATGTTCGCTCAGTGCTGTGGTACTTGTGGTAGCTACAATGAGTATGTTGTGGAACTATAACTGGGAGTGAGAAACTGAGCCTTCATTGTTATAGAGCCAACCACGGCATGACACCTCCTTAAGTCGTGATCGGCCTATAGTAGGCCTTGTTAACGATCCACATCAGGTGACTTTACTTACATTTCTACAGATTTGTTCACTGGACTGCAACGTGACAGCTAATTCCGCACGCCAACTTTGGTCGCCCGGTGCCGATTAGCAGCCCGAAGTCCGAATGGCTATCGGTCGACAAGCAGTACTCCCGCATCGGTGCGTAACCTTCTGGCAGCAACACCTATATTATTTGCGTTTGTCAAACAATTGGTACCCATACTCACTCTTCTGACCTATTGTTTCCTACTCAGAGCTCACAGAGTCCTTGTCGTCTTCCGCCGTCGCTTGCTTGGCCAAAAGGGATCATGCCGCGGGCGCCCTCCCCACCGTACAGCATCCAACAAACTCGAGTAGTCTGTCAACACTGCACGTTCAACTCCTCGATCTACCTCTATAGAGATCCGTACGTCGCCCACTCCGCAGGCATTTGCAAATTCGTCAGTGCTGGTCCTCCTCGGGTATGCTGAGCTTGTGGGGGACCGCGACCGTTCGTTAGACTGGGAACCGCAGGGCATCGCTCAGTCTGGGTTCAGTGGGACAGGGCACCAGCAGGCCACTACTCAGTATGCGCTAGCCTTCTGCGTCTTCAGTTGCAGATTCGCACGTGAAAATGATCTCACACAGACCGCCTCATCGCGATCTTATCCCAAAGGCCTAGATTGCGCACTGGTCCACATGAACCGCATATCCATAGCCGGTACGACTTTCCAGAAGCCGCTCCCTTCGTCCAGCACCACGATCCTCCCCGTCATGGTTGATCTTCGTGAGGGCGACTGGTCAGAGTTGCTTGCATCCATTGACTGGTTCAGGTACCGCCACCCATCCGTCTGCCGTCACCAGCAGGTTGGCCTGTGGCGTTTGCTACCCTTGTACATAGTTCCTTATTTTACAAGTCGTTGTGGACTGGGTTTGAGCATCTGTGGATTAATCCTGTTGCTGTGGAATGCCTTCCCCATACTGTGGAGGTTTTAGGCGTCTTCAATCGACCCTTGTGGTCGGTTTGATACCGCAGCTCGATTTATCGTCCACTCCGACTAGACTGATCAGTACTTTCTACAGACCTCGATATAATAAAAGCGACCTCGAATTATTATAACACTAGAATTCAGCCAAGTGAAATGGATAATAGCACTGCAATGCACATTGTATTTTTAAAGCACCATATATCATGGAACGTGTTAAAACAACCGAAAATGAAAGAAGTAAAAAAAAAACTAAACCTGATCAGATTGGATGGATATCATGGCTCTCAAATCTCCAACGGACGTGAGCCCTCCGACAATGAAGAAAGCATGCCGCTAAGCCAAAACGGAACGTAGTGAAGCGGTGTTGACCTCAAGGTAAGACACGTATAGGAGCAAGCCAGTTGTCGAACCTGGAAGCGCTAGCAGCGTTCGCATTTATTCAAATGAAGTAGGAAACTTGGCTCGATTTGTTGGCCTTAATAATCTAGCCTTAATTCCACCTGATCCCTGTTATATGATACAAGAGGGGATTTGGGCTAGTAGTGCTGAGTAAAAGCACTATATGATCTAGTATATCGTCTGCGAATTACACGAAAACTGATTTGACAGCATAATGCTTGCCTAGCCAGCGATGCGAGACACCCAGAAAGCCGTGATATCTTCTGTTCTCGGAGAAGTCACAGTACTCATCGAGTTTTTCTCCCTTTCACTCTGATACTTCCAACCAAGTTATATTTTGAAAGATGGAGAATCTTTGTCTGGAACCTTTCATCAGACTTGTTCTAAGCTAAGTGCTAACTCAGCTCGGCTTTTTTGTAGCCACTTCACACTGCAAAGGAACCCTCTGCTGCCGCGGCTCCGAACTGGCCGGACCTTCTACCAACCAGTACGAACATGAGCATGACCGATTGAGCATGGTATGCACCTGGAATACTAAGTACCAGTCGAGGGGGACAGCAACGTGGCATGGCATATCTAAGGATATGCATGGACGCTAACCCATCTAAAGAGTGTACAGACAACGACGGATAAATCCGCCCCTATCTGAAAAACATCCTCCATACAAAACGACAGCTGCCAACAGCAAACCATAAAATTGCACGCACCAATCTAATTGGCTTAAATGCGCAAATTTGGTACATAATACAAACTGTTTATCTCGAGATTAGTAGAAGCATTTTTTTATACTTTTTAAGTATTAGATTTCTACATTGGGATTCTTTGAAATGACTTTCTTAAATCTCTTGACGATGTCCTCTGTCTTCAAATCTTCTCCAAGCCTTGATTATTCGCGAGATAGGAGATCGTCGATATTCCTCTGCTCTAGCTTGGTTCTGCTTCTTACGCTTTGCGGCTGGCTTCTTACGCTCTTCCTTCTGATGGTGGGGTAGTTCTGTGGTTTCATCGACGACGCACATGCACTCCTCGCTGCACAGACACGCAACGCCGCAAAGGCACTCGTCCCAGCATTGACAATGGTTCCAACACTCGCAATCCTCTCCAAGCCCGCACAACGCACAGCACACACACTTGCTCTGCCACCGGCACTCCTTGTCCCAATTACAATTCTTCACTAGCCCACACTGCGCGCACTTTCCTTTTGTAGATTTGTGGGTCTCAGCCACCCAGAATGTCGTTATCTTTTTCTTTAGAGGCCCCATTACCCCGACGTCCAAAGGTTGACAGACAGCGGTATTGTTTGCAGGTAGTTGGCAAACTAATGCCGACGTTGTTTTGGCCACAACATAAAAATGCCCTTCGCCGAAACGTGAGCATCACAGTTGTCAAGGATAAGAACCGATGGGGCGTCGATTTCATACCGCAGCAGCTCACGAACGTAAAACGACCAAACCGTTGAGTCCATCGAGAGATAGAGCCCCCAGGTGATGCGCAAATAATAAAAAAGAATAGGAAGTTTTTACCTAAAATAATAGAATTGATAAATATATGCACCCCTGGGACAATCCAGATGGGTACAGATCAACATTTAATCGGTTACCGTTCGTGGCTCGGTATGAACCTGGTTCCCTGCATTTTACCGTTCTGACACGTATTTAGCGTCGGTAACAAGCCAATTTCGAATTTCTACCCATAGGTAATAGGAACCGAAACTAATGTCTAATGGGAGAGGGTGAGGTTCTAGAATCTAAAGGATTTCATTGGTTGTTTTGTGGTGAGTGTTAGCAATTTTGTTCGTCTGAGTTCGGTGCTAAATAATGATTTGCTTCCAGCTATTCCAGATTTTGCGATCTTCCACAGACGCTCATGGAGACTGAGCGGAGAAGACGTCGTGACGAGGCGAGCAGCGTCCCGATCGCTGTGCGTGAGGCCATCCAGGCCTTTGTTCCTGATGCCGGCACGAAGGTCCTTCCAGCGAGACCAAGTGAGACTTCCTTTGTGTATAACTGGGGCGTGCGCGTGATTAGCACGTCCGACGAGAGTGCTACCGCTGTCTGGATGTGCATGGCAAGCGAGACCTGCCGCACACAGCGTGCCAAATTGTTGATGTCCGGCGGAAAGACGTCGAAAGCGACTCAGCTCCCCAGCAAGGCGCATGATATTGGCTCTGACAAGACCGCCAGCGAATTGGGCAATAAACGAACTCGTGAAGAAGAACTCGCCGTATGACGACGGAGCTTACTGTATCGAGAAGATCCCGGCCGCGCATACGTCTTAATAGAGGCGTTACGTATCGTCAACGAAAATCTTCCTTTTCGAATCGGCGAATACGCCGAGTCGCTGCTGCTCGGTGACCTGATGCTTAAGGAGGAGGCTCGAGTGGCCTTGAACGCGAAGGTCATCCGCCATGCCGCTGTGGAGCTCTACGATTCAACGAAGCGTCAAGTCGAGGAGATGCTGGCCGACAATCGGATTGGGGCAGCGAAGAGCTTCTCCATTGTGGCCGACTTTTGATCGGCACCCACAATGAACACTAAGTTCCTGGGGCTGAGGCTGTATTTGGTGGACTCCTCATTCCAGTTCAAATCGGTGCTATTAGGAACCCGGCACTTCGCCCCACAGTACGGGGAGCGGGACGGTGGTATTCGCGGGCCGTTTTCCGGAGGATTGGCGATGTGTTGGCGGACTTCGGATTAAGTCGTCATGGTCTCTTCGGTTCAACAAACGACGGCGGGCCGGACATTAGGCGGATGATGACGACGGGTTTGGCGTTGAAGTGGACGTGGCGCATCCCTCACTTCATGCACGCTGCCACCAAGACCGCATTTGGAATTGTCGCTGACAGCAACAGGTCCAAGAACCCAGCGATGACTGACCTATTGTGGCGAGTTGTCAAGACCGTGTACCAGACGCAGCACGTCGAAGTCATGGGCACTCTCTTTAGCGAGTTATGCAGTCTACTAACAGATGACGATGTGAATGCCAGACAGCTCCTCAACTTCCGTATTCATCGTTTTCTGGGTCTCGCACGTGTCGTCCGCCGAATTGTCCTACTTTGGGATCCACTTCTGACATGGTACGAAGCGAGAATAGCCAGAGCCCGACGCGATAACGGGGTTCCACCAGCTGCCTTTCCGCTGACCCAGGACAAAATGGATCTCATCCAAATACTATCACTACTTGAGCCGATCGCAACGGTCTGCAAAATTGGGCAGTACGAGTCAGAAAACCAATGCAATGTGCTCCTCGGGCTCTTTAAGCTCCGTATATCTGTGTTGGATAATACCGCGCCTTTGAAGGACTGCAGATCGACCAAGACGGACAGGCGTTTTTTCAGGCCAGAAAAGCTTTCGAATTTGGCGTCGACGACGCGATCGCTTCTCCAAAAAGCATTTCACCGTGTGTTTTTTCGGCGATCCACTGAACGCGACGTCATGAACACGTGCTCCTACGCGTTTGAGATACAATTACTGCTATCCCCCAACTTTAAAAACCCCGACGGAGCTTTGAAGAAGGTGATACAGAGGACTAATCTACAAGCCGTAGCTTCGCAGCAGGTGGCCGACCGTCACTACACACAAGTTCGGCGCAAAGTTATCGACGGTGTCCGAACGATTATGAAGGCAGTTGATACCCAACCAACTTCACTTGGAATCGTTGCACCACCTCCCGATGTTGTATTCGCTGAAGATATCATGAAGTTATTCTCTGAGACGGCGGACGAGGTCGTGCCGTCACCGGCCGAGACACATAACTCGATGCACACGCAGCGAGTGGATGAAGAGCTTGACCGCTGGCTTACAACGCCCACTTCGTTGCGAGCTATACGTCCAGGTGAGGTTGAACCGGTTCTTAGCTACTGGAAACGCCAGCAGGAGCAGGGAAACTCCCAACTTCTTCCGCTGGTGGCGCGTGTTTTGTTTTCGATGCCCTCGTCATCGGCCCAAATCGAGAGGGACTTCGGAACGGCTGGGAGAATGGTGACGCCGGAACGCAGCTCGTTGGAACCATACAACGTGGATATGGCTATGTATTTGAACTGCAACAGGAGCTACGTCGACATAACCCAATACCCATAGCTATCACCGAAATCCGCAGAAGAACGGTTGCCCTCCAACGCCTTGGTGAACATGGTGCAAGATTTGGATGCCGAGTTCGGGTCCATGGCTAACCTTTTTTCTGGTGAAAGTATGAATTTAGGTATATCGGATAATGAAGATGCAGGCGAAGCCTAGCTGGAACCGAAGAAATGAATACATGCAGCTCATCGATATTAATGGTGTTGTTGTTTGTGCTTTGCTTTGGGGTTTGTGTTCACCAACTCTGCCGCTCGAGATGCAGCCCGACTCCGTACAGCTTCCTGGGCTTCGTGCCGAATACGCTCCATTTTAGAATGGGTTCTGTGCTCCGGCTGACGCCGAATTCGAGCTGCATGGGCTTTTTTATTTAACACTGTCTTCTTGTTCTCGCACCCTCGGCTCCAGCTTACGTTGGGGCCTTGGTCTGGCCTTGGTGGATGTGACTGCTTTGTGTGTTGGCTCCGCAGTTACCGTCTGCGTAGATGTGGTCTCAGTCATGGCGCTTGGGCCCGAGGGCATTGTTTCTCTCACCTTCAACACCGTCATATCGCCGACCTTGTTCTCCGCAGCGGTTTTCGCTACTATTACCACGTCGCGAAGCCGCGCCTCAACGCGATCTGTGAGCACTTCGCGCTCCTATTCTTGACGGACCCTTGTAGCGCTGTCGTACTGGTTCAGGATCCCTCGGACCAACTCGACAACCCGTGCTTCGGACCGTGCGATGGAGTCATGGTGATCCGCACGGCGAATTTTCAGCTCTCCTCGTACGAGCGCCAATGCGTTGTCGTCCGAGCCCCGAATGGCTTCCTGGAAACGATCCTCCACGTACTTGTGCATGTTTTCGCGCATGACCTGAATGTGACGATCAGTACGCAAGCTGGCCTTCTGCTCAATCTGCTGGAGAGCAGCGTCCATTCGCCGCTCCATGAGTTGAGGTAGCGCTGCTTGATCGGTCAATTGAGCCTCTGCTAAAGCTCGAGCTTGTTCTTGAGCCCAGTGCTGTAGCTGCTGGAGGACATCTTGGATGCGCGCGTCGACGCGAAGCTCTAGTGTCGAAGGGCCACCGTAGGCCGGGTGGAAGACAAGAACAAGGGCCTGACACCGGGCTTCTGCCTCCTCACGCGCGGCGACGCACTGCTCGATCAATCGCTACTGCTCTTCTTCATGGAGCGACTGTCGCTGCTGGAGCTTGGCTTGATGCTCTGCGATGCTGTTCGCCTGCGCCGACACGTGTGCGAGCGCCATCCCAAGTTTTTCACCGTCGATGCGGTAGTGCTCCGGCAGCTCGATGATCGGGAGGTCGTCCATTGTCGTGGTGCGCGGATAGTGTCGAAGGTAAAATGGTGAAAGTGGGGATCTAAATCACTGGTAGCCAGAATAGTTATGGCCAATGAGATTGTAGAACGCTAGCCAATGTGAAGCTCGGATTCATGGAACGAGCCGCGTTCTCTCCCCGATTCGGTTCGGGGACGTTTTGGTAGAACCGAGTTCCCTCCCGGTTCAGGTTCGACGAAAACACTACAACGGCGGTTCGGGTTCGGTTCGTCCCAGGGGTGAATATATGTCATCCGTTCGGAGTGTTTTTGTGTGCGTTTCGCCTTAGCAGATCTCTTGCGTCCCTGCGCTGCCCAAATTTTGAGAGACGGTATGTCGAAGTAGACTGCTGTCTCGTCAACATTGTAGATGGCGCTCAGTAGAAATTATTCGTACATTCCAAAACTGTATAGCAAACTACCAGTGAACTTTGCAGCGCATCTTCATTTGTTTTGGTATATTGAAGCTACTGTGTAGTAAATCCTAAATAATAATTGCAAATATAAGTCATTTATAACATTTACTAAATAAGAAGTAATTACCGTGCTGCAAACCGCTGGCAAAGCCTCATCAGAGCGCTCAATGCTTGTTTGAGTCTTGTTTTAGAAGCAACGTAATCATGCAGCCATTGTGGTTGTTGCTCTTTCTTGTATTGAATCATGAGGCCTGTGCACAGACATTAGTAAGGCCAGCATATCTGTCAATTTATACAGGGAAGCTTATTACCATGATTATTTTACCTCCTCTTCGCGTCGTACGTCTTTCATGAACGTTATTAGATCATGCCCAAAAGTGATAATGCTCTTAACGCCCTGGTTTTTTAGAGTCTTGCTTGTATGGTGACCGTTGAAGGTGTCGGTGTTCTCTTTGTTGTCTATACAGTCACGCAGAGTGCGACGATGGATATTTAGTTCCATCACCGCAGGTCGGACACCTAGCTCTTCGGCTTTCGAGATAGTATGGCGTTTATTGGATATTGGATAGGAGCGCTGGGGCGTCATATTGAGAGTGACAAGCGAAAAACGCTGGTGGTGAATAAACGCCGTGGATGGCCAGTCAAGATGGCACTCTGTCCACGTATTTAAATAAACACATACTATTGGATAATATATTTGACTTCAGTTTCAAACTTCAAATGCTGGTGGAGGAGTTTTTATAGTGTGGCGGACTTATCCGTCGTTGTCTGTAGCTTTGCGTTAATAGTCGTTTCATTGCCTAGTACGTAAATCAAATACACCGCTGTAGTTTATTAGAGTATAAAAGCGGGATCGTATCCGGATCAGTTAATGTATCGAAAGCGACAACTACTACTGTCAGGGGCATACAAACGCATCAGATAGACAGAACCCAGAAATTTATTTTCTTTCTAAGTCAATGCGATCATGTATGGTTTTCCTCCGCAGCTCGATACCTCGTAAAACTCATGCGAATCTGACAAAATATAAATGTATTCACTTGATATTTGTATTACCGTATTCGTTCTGTGATTAATGACGTTCAGTCATTACTGACAACCGCAATAGCATATGGCTCGAAATATCGAGCCGTTGTAGTTTATGTGCTGACTGACAGATTCAGTGCAAAAGAAAACGACTAAATATTATTGTAAATAAAATCATTTCGAGACTGGTAGGAATGTCGCAGCAGCAAGGAAGGCCACGCGTCAGGGTCATAAGAAACCGAATCACAGCCGTAGCAGCTTCTCTAACCGTCACAAGTTAGAGGGCACAGAATCAGTTGTTAAGGTGCGAGTCCGTATGCTACGTCAGCAATTGCGTGCTCACACAGGATCCACACACGCATTGAAATTCAAGCCTCCGACACGAACTACACTTTGCAAGTGGGTTTGTCAAGTTGGGCAAAACTATCAGAAATTACCATCACAAACGGATTATGTAAAGCTCATATCTTGACCCCGCTACCAACCCCAGCAGTCGGCGTGAACGACATTGAGCCACAAGAAGAAACCATTGCTACGTTTGATAGATGATAGTGTTGAAGATGTTTTGTCTGACGGAGAGTAGAACTTCTCCGATGCCAAGTCAATTTAACTCGTTCTGAATAAAATGTTGTATGCACAGGTCATATATTAACCCGTTCGAATAATTTGTTTTTTTTACACATGTCACATTTTCTAAATGGAGGTAACATTTATGGGCATGGATAGTCGCGGTTCAGTTCAAGAATTTGGTTGTCGTTAATCCCAGAAGGAATACGGAACATGAAACGGTGTGTAAAACACGACACACGGACATGAATTAACCCCAGTTGGGCTGTACGTTACTTCGTACCAAAGAAGTGTATTAGGATTTAGTATGCCATTCAAATCGACGGTTTTCCTGTACCGGCAGCCGGTACAATTTTTGTCGCCGACCGAACGTGGCAGTAGCAGTATAGTTTGTCAACTCGTTCTTGACAGTTTCGAGTCTCCGCAATTAGCAGCCATGACTCCAGAGCGCACCACCACGCCGTCGACGCCGGCTTCTACTGTTAGAATACATGTACAAGATTCAAGCCCCTAGCCCATAGTGAAGTTCAAGACCTAGCCCGGATGAAAAGGGAACTGGGACGAGGTAAACCAGATAGTAGGTAGTTTGAAACCCGTAGTGCTAGGGAGAGCTCGAGAGCTCTACTAGTGCTCTAACAAATGCAGTCTTCATTTTACCTTCTAGTCCAGAAGTGGTCCGAATCC